AGTTACTACCACTGATGTGACTGTTACCGACGATAGGACATTTCCTGATGAAGCAGATGAACCCCACGTGCAGTGCAGAACTGTAGAATAATTATAAAACTGCATGAAGAACTGTTATAGACTGAGAAAACATAGCATTATATCCTCAAACAACAAATGCTATTCTTCCCAGGATGTATACACTACCCTCACTATTGTTGGTCATTTCCATAAAAAAGGTCAGAGACATTAACCTCACAGTATCATTTGGCTCATCAGTGGAAAATATTGCTGTCTGTTTCTATATATGACATTCATCAGCAGTATAGTGCCTGTTAAGTGCATAGCACTGCATGGTCTTCTTATTGTAAATATATTGATAATTTCGAACTTTTAAATTTCATATCTTAAACATTAAATAGTCCATTTTTTAATTTTTTTTATCTAAATTGATTGGTTGTCGTAGGCTATATGTATTGTCCTCACCACGAGTATCGAAATCTGATTTTTAACGTTATAAGCCTTCAGACTTACCGTTCAGTCGTTGGAAGGCTTTTATCTAAATGATAACGAATTTGTAATATGATATGTCTATTTTGCTGTTTTTTATGAAACTTATTCCCAAATCTGAATATTTTAGTTTTATTTGGACAAATTGCAAACTTTATTCAGAGTCTAAAATTAAGTCATTGCATTCTGAATTGCGAGCACAACAAGAGAAATAGTTTTATAAAAGAATTATATAATTGAAAAAAAAACAACATTTTTTTGTTTCCTATTTTCAAAAGTAGATGACGTTTCCTTGGTAGTATTACATATATCTCTATGTAAAAACTTTTGTAGGGAGAACGAGATTAACGTACTCGTATAACGTTGGAAGGTAAATTGGTAATTTTAATGATAAAATTAATGTTATAAAAAATAAAGTATGGAATTAAGCTGTCTTAATTGGAAGGAGTTGCACTAGTTTTGTGTATTATAGTATTAATAAGTGACTTGGTGTATTCCTGCTTATTTGCACACTGTCCAAAGTTTTTAATTTTAAATTTAACTAGTAATTTGAGAATGATGTAGCGATTTAGCTTTGGTTAAGAATAACACTTTCTTAAGAACAGGTAAAAACAGCTCAAGGTGTTGGTACTGGTAGTTATTATTGGAAAAACAACATTTTGTAAGATATTCATCTGAATCTCAAAATGAGAAAGTATACTGTCAAACAATCGTGTTAAGAGGATATATTATAATGTAAACATAAAGTTTGGTAAACATTATTTAAACAAACAGTATAGTTAATATTTATATGAAAAGGAAGAACTGTGTTAAAAACAGCAAGACCAAACCTCAACAAATTACACTGACAGCATTTTTGGTATTTTCAATAAAAAATAAAAGTCACGACACCAACATTTCATGTATACAATATTTTATTTTTTTCAAATGAACTGTTGGTGTAGTGATTTTTAATCTTTATTGGAAGACCAAATCTATGATGAAATTTATAATACAAAATGTATATGTAATACAAACCTTAATAAAAATATAACTGTATAACCAAAATAAAGTAACCAGAACACATCTTGTATCCTACTTTATAGTCTGTGGCCTAGTTACTTTACTTTAATTATGCAGCATTATATTTTTATTAACATTTGTTCTGTATTATATATATATGTATATATCAAATTCAAAAGTTGATCACACATCACAGTGTATCACAACAACATGCATTTTGTACTATGAATGTAAGTGTGTAAAACTGCAGAGACCTGTAATACTGACAGTAATGGTACTGTCAGTGATAATCCAACAACTTGGAAAAAAATGGCAGTAGTAAAGAATCCAATTAGCAAGATTAGTTATTGTCATCAGGAATGACGAATTTATCTTGTCTTAAAATTTATAACATGCCTGTTGTTAAGTTGGGAATTATAAGTAAATTTTTAGCTAAGATATATTAGAATACATATAAACAGTCATTCATGTTTAACGAAGTTGTAAGCCAGCTTACAGAAACTGTATTTCTTAGTTACGTATGTATGGAAAGCCCCTCAATGCTGATGTGCACTTCACTAGTAGATAAAACTATTGTGATAAAGAATTATTTTACTGTAAATGTAAATTGTGTATCGAAACAGTTATTATACTTTATTTTTAATAACCTTGCATTTTTTTAGTGTTTTAGAGTAAAATGCTTATTTCACTATGCAGCAGTATATGTGTTGTAATGTTTGTTTTAAATGTTGTTGTGTCATTTGTTAAGCCATAGATGACCAACTGGCAGCCCATGAAGGTGTTTTATTGAACCCCTGTTTTTGTTTGTTTTTAAACTTATATTTTATTTTAGCCAAACATTCTTCAAATGTTAACTCAGCTATTTTTTACAAAACCATATAATTATCTGAGGGTATATAATTGACAGTAGGAATTTAAATTTAAATAAAGCAAATATTCTGAACCTACTTTACTCAGTCATATTGTTTCAACCCCCAGACTCCAGTCTAGGTAATAGTCATATAGTTTCCGCTCCAGATAACAGTCTAGGTAAGAAATTGGTTCATGAGCACAAAGTAGTTGGCTATCCATGATTTAAATGCTTCTGAGATAGTTGAATTATGATATATATATATATATATATATAAGTAATTAATTTGGGAGATAGTTGAATTACAATATATATATATATATAGTTACATTTCATTGTTTTTGTTTAAACACTGATTATGGTTTCTGGACAAATTTAAATAATGAATTATGAAATTAAGTAGAGAAACAGGCTTATTTTTTCTATTATGTTTTATCATTTGTAATTAATTAAAATATTTAATTTCTGAGAGTTTTTATGAGAAATTTATGTATATATATATATATATACGATTTTAGTGTTACGTACTAATGAATACCTCACTTGTTAGTATATTTATATATGTTTAGTGAGAGATGGGTTTTGTGAAAAATGTTTTGATAAAAAGATTGTTAATAAAGTATAAGATTGCATATTGATATTTTTTACAGGCTTTGCAGAAATGGATAACAATTTTGGAATTCCAGATTATTTCTTGGTGATGGGTTTTAAAAGAGGGTTGGGATGGCTCTAAATGTAAGGAATAAAATCATCCTGTTGGGATTAAAGATATAAAAAATATTATTCAAGAGGTTGAAGCTATATGGTTTATATCATTTACACTTAAGGACTTCAAGGGTAGAAAGTTTTTAACTGGTAATTGTTATAGGGCACCTGATTGGTCAATTAAGGACATTAAGAAATTATTTAATGAGATCAGAATTGTCTATACTGATTCAATAATTATATGATATTTAATTTTAGACAATGATTGGAATTGTATAAAGTCAAATAGTGAGGGAGGGAGAGATTTCTTTATGTGATTCTTGATTATTTTCTATACCACATTCAGCATTCCAACCAGGAGGAGGGTACCATTTTATATATATTGTTAACCATTAATGAGGATATGGTTGTAAGATTTGCATAATTAGGTTTTGCTACATGTTGAGATTTAAAAAAAATTTGTTTCTAATTTTCAATCTGCCAATTTTGAGTCCATAAGACAAAATTCATCCTTAGTGAACAGGATAAAAAGTTAAAAGGTGATATGCTTTTAATTCAAAATAGGCATGTTCAAGACAAATGCTAAATGGAAGATCAAACATAAGTTGTTTCTAAAGTCATTAAGGAAATAATCACAAGTAAATGCTATAAGTGTAAGAAGTTGGAATTGACAGATATATTGCAAGATTTACATAGCTATAGGAAAGCTAAGGTTCAGGCTAAAAAATAAATTAGAAAATCAAAGGGCTTATTAGAAACCACTGGCTGATAATGTTAAGACTAATAGCAAGGATGTTCTTTAGATATATTAATATCAAACAAATTTTAAAATGGGAATTGGTCCCTAAAGATGCTGTTGGCAAGGTTTTTGTTAAAGACTATGGGGGATGGCTAATTTTATAAATGTTCTGATCTTTTATTAACAAGAAAAAATATTAGCAATATTCCTGACCTTGAGCATTCTATGGGAAATATTGGAATTGGCCTGAATCAAAATATATTAATCCCTTGGTGGTAAATAGAAAGATTAAGAGTTTAAAAATTTTAAAGGAGTAACATTTTAAAATTGCTCTGGAAATTGTAAGCTAGATAGTTTTATTTTATAGTGTGATAAAAGAAGACTTACAAGAACATTTAGTGAAATGTGATTCGCAAAAGCCATCATGGATTCACCAAAGGGAAATCTTACCTTACTAATTTCCTTTTTTTTTGAGAATTTTGCCTGTAATTTGGATGATAGAAAGGGTGTAGATTTTGTGCACTTAGAGTTCACTTAGATTTGCATAAAGCTTTTGATAAGGTGCCACAGAAGATTATCTAAGAAAATCTCGTTAGTAAGGACTGGAGAAAGCAAAAGGATGTTATTAACTCTTTCAGCACAGGATTGGTCCCTGCAACCAACCTCATAACCATTTTATGTTTGTTATAGTTTTTATGGTATAACTTTGAAATTAGTTAGCAAAATTTGACAAATTATCAGTAAACATTACAATGCCTTCATGCACAAAATATAAATTTTTTTTTATTAAGTCTTTAGGTTTGTAAAGCAATGTGTTTTTCATGCCTTTTTTCTTTTTGCATGCAAAGTAATTTTTATTTTAAGATTAAAAATACTTTTATGCATCAGAAAATTTTCTAATTTCACATGCAAAATCTTTATAATGTACAAATAGTTATCAAACATTTCTTAAGACAAAACTTTATATTTTATCTGTTATTTTCAGTAATGAATCTCTATATTGGTTCAGTAGATTTGATCATTCTTGTAACCACCATAAAAATTAGGAAATGTATTTATATTATGCCACTTTCATTCTAGAATGAACACAAATTATAACACGAAACATAAATGTTTAGACGAAATAGCTGAAATCTCATAACATTATACATTTATATATACTTATTATTTTTATTATATTGTCTTTTCACCTGTGCCTGGCTAACAGTAACAATACAGAAGTTCAATGATGCAGTTCACGTGCTCTCATGTTACTGTATCCAATAACATAAAATTGAC